TCTTTTCGTTTACGTTAATAAAGTTCATTCGCTTTTAAAACAATCTTGGGTAATTGTGCATAAGACTTCACTGATTTTATTGCTTTTTAGATATGTTATAGGGGAAGTTGTCCTGAGTAATTTCCTATAAAAAGTAAGTGGGGGACGGCATTGGTTTGGGAGATATAATAAATTAAAGTTTCACAATAAAATTTGTAAAGATGTATTATTTGTTCATTGTTTACAAAATAATTCTGTTATATAGTTTTATTTATACATTCTTCTTTACTTAAACATATGTATCTAGTTTTTCGATGGAGCCTTCTTCTATTCTTCATATTAAAAATTATAAACTTGTGTAAAACATCGCTTCGCGTTAAAAAGTGTATGCGTATAAAGTTGATGTGTTCCGTCCTCCACAGGGGGAATCACATATTGATTCCACGCATACACTTTTCAACGAAAAGGGTAAGTAATTGTAATGCTGGATGTGACTTTTGTGAATCATATTTTATCTCAGTTTTTTGCAATAAATCTGTTGCGCGTTCACATATGCATTGATTCTACTCCATCATTTTTTTATTTTTGTTTTTTTAATTAAGATCATTTTCTTGCTGAAGAAGACTTAGTGAAATCGAAATGTACACATTTTAAATTCATCTTTATTTGTGACATTTGATTGTTTACTCGTGTATATTTAATAAATATTTTTGATTTTTATTTTTATTGTTTGTCACGATACTTAATGTTGCTCGTTTCTCAGACTCCCCTTTTTTTGTTTATTTCATACGAACTGTTTATCTTGTTTGTTTTATTTGAATAATAATCTTATTTCTACTAAATTATAAGTTTCTACTAAAATATTAAATTAGATATTCAGTTTAGTGTTGGATTACATAGAGCTCAGAGTTAGAAAGGAGGGTGTCATGAAAGGATCTGTTTTTGCTGTGCTTGGGAAAAATAGAAAGCGACATTATTGTTATTCGCAAGACAAATTTATATTAAAGATACTGTAGCGATACATGACTGTAAACAGTCTTGAAGTGAGAAAGAAGATTCGGAATATAAACACATGACTGTAAGGTGTCGTGGTTGTGCAGACTAAGTATCACAGGTCGTTAACAAAGGATTCTGAATTCAAACCCGACCGATTCTAATTTTTCTGAATTTCTTAAAATATTCTATTTTTTATATCAAAAAATGAAATATCACACTGTATATCATTGATATATGTAGTGTAACAATTTGTCTTACGAATAATTACGAACACGTTTTCCCGCATTTAAACTCAATTTTTTTATATGTTCCCGTCATATAACATAATTTTAATTAACATCATCGGATTCCTCAATTCAAAAACTATAAGAAACGATGTTTTTATTTTTCCCGAGCATAGCGAAAATAGATCTTTTCATAACAACTTCTTTTAAAATTTACAAATAAGTTTAAATCTCTTATGATTTTAAAAAGGTGTCAATAAACTGTTAAAGAAATACAAGAAAGAAAACTAAATAAATGATCATTTTTGGAGAGATATTTCTATGATATAATTCTGTTTCTAATAAACTAAAAATATTTATGAATACATATTTATGAAAACATTAATTCTTAATCATGGAAATACATTTGTTAGGAGGCTTCTCAAAAATAATAAATAAAGATATTAAAATAAATCAATCGATTGATTATTGCACCAAAGCAACATAATCCAAGCTGCAAGTAACTCAGATAAAATTGAAATCAGTAAAAAAATGACAATTATAAAGTGCGAATTTCTTATCAGGAATATTTCAAATTATTAAAAGAGCAGGAGAGACACAGTATGGCTCAAAAAAGAGAAAAACTCAAGAGAAGCAATTGGATAAAATAAGTGAATTAAAAATTAAGAAACTCAAAGTTATGTCTAAAACCTTAGAATCTCAAACGGAAAAAGAATTGATCAATTACATTAGTCAATTGGTCAAGTTATTCAAATGCAAGTGAGTTAATTCTCTCTCCGTTTAAGATCTCGAGCCGATTTCCAGCATCGTGAACGCAAATCTTAACAAAAGTCAAGAAATATTAAAAGTGATCCTTGATGTTAAATGGAGAACAATAAGGCAAATAAGAATCAGCGCTGTTAACAGTGCGCAATTAACACTTCTTAATATAAAACTTCACTATCTTTATTACAAACATTTCGACTAAAGTTTGAGCTATGACTCTATTTATTAACACATACTCAGCTTATATTAATATATTATTATATTATATTAATATATTATATTAATATTACTCTTACAGCCTGAAAAAGAGTTTCTTTTCATTATTTATCTAAAATATTGCGATAAATATTACCAAAAGCTTCGGTGGTCTAATGAATAAGATGCCTGTCCGGAGAGCAGGCAATCCAAGTTCGATCCCTGGCTGAGGTGATATTTTTCGCAATATATTTCCTAAGGAGAGAAGGGAAGTGAATAATAAAACGGATTTTAATTAATATCAAGATATTTGAATATCGAATTGCTATAAAACCGTTATGTTGTAAGTCTGCTAAAAATAGCATGTAGGCACATAGTTGATAATTATAAATTATTTGAATTTATTTTATATAAATTTATCAAGATCTTGCTTCCCGAGGAATTGGCTATGATTCTCTTGTTTATTAACACATACTTAGCATATATCAATATATTATTTATATACATTGATTTATTTTGTATTAATAAATAAAATAGCATTCTGTTATGTACATTTGAGTATATGTATAAAATAAAGTATTTTTAAAAATAAAAATAAAAATAAAATATTTCAAAGAAGAGAATATTTTAAATAAAAGTTGCAATATTTCGAGAAGAGTTACATGACTATGGTACTGATTTATTTGCAGATAAAGATATTATTGACTTTTTTTAATAATTTTTAAAAATAAAATCATATATTCTTTGTTACATAATATAATTTTTCCAATTATTCTGGATATAAAAATATGGTTATAATTATAAAAAAATCAATAATTTGCGAGATATTTTATATTTTATTCTAGCATATTGTCATAAAATGTAAAATATTTTATAAACTATTTATTTTTTTATAACATAATACTTATATAGACTAATGACAAATTAATTTATATAAAGAATTTATATAAAGAAAATACGTAGTTGGTTTAAAAAAATTATGTAATTTGCAATATGCAAGTACAAAATCATTTTTAAAAATGATCGAATGCTTTTTCTAACCAATTAATTCATCTCAATATTACATAAAAGTATTATGAAACAATTATTAAAAACTAAAAAATTTAAAAGATCACAAATTAGAAAGATAACATGGCAAATTGAGAGTCAAACGCAGGTTTTGTGGTGAGAGATTTAATTAATAGTATAATATT